TTCCCTGCCAAGTGCACACAAGAAGAGAGTAGGCAGAAGCTCCTGCAGAGGACAGAGGGAAACCCAGGTAGCAGTATAGAGGCCCCAGGTTTTGCAGTTCATCCCTAACTTCAAAATCTGCTCACCTGAGCGATCAGACAAGGGTGAGTGGAAAGAACACTCAGTTCCATAAATGAGATGATATGGCAAAAGCATTTTTTCCCAAGCATGCCTGTTGATTACAACATGCATTTATATGCTGGCATGCTCTGATGCAGCTCTCGTTATGAACCATTCAAATTGGAGTCATCGCACAGGCATTCATGCTCTCACCACATACATGCAGTTAAACAGTATTTAAATCAAACTGCTTACCTTCTGCTTTCATGTAATGTACCGAGTATGCAATCACTTTGTCTGAATTGTACACTGGCCTCTCCCATGCTAGCAGGATTGCTGAGCTTGACATCGTTTCAGCATGGACATTGTAAGGTGCACTGGGTCTGTCTTCTGACATAACTACAGTAAGCCTGGCCCTGGAGAGAATAGATCCCTGGCTATTCTCAGCCATGCACTGGTAAATGGCATCATCTTCAGGAATGATCTGGTTTATCACCAATTTACTGAATCCAAAAAGAAGAAAAAGGGGAAAAAAGCTCACATCTTGGATAAACTTAGCTCTACATAATGCAACAACAGTTATATTTGCCTCTGCTTCATGAGTTCAGTATAACTGCCTTACATGCCACAAACTTTTCTATGAGAAATTCATGTGCAGCTGTTATATTTAGCAACCTGAAGTGTTCCTCAAAATCTGACATGCTTATGCAAAGCCAGGCACAGTGAAAACAAACCTGTAAATCTATTCCCCACCTGCAAAAAGCAGAACCTTACGGCTGTCATTCTTTAATCAACTCCTTATTATGAGCTGCTTATGCTACAGAAGTAGTAAAATGGGGCTTCAAACAACTGTCAAGATCTTATCTCTTGCTATACTCCTGTAAATCCCAAACAACTCTGTGGTGAAACTCTTCAGGTCCATCCATTCTCCCATCCTTCTGCCATTTAAGGCAGTGATCACAAAAGCTTTGCTGAGGATTTTAGGTATTGACTAATCTGCATTCCTTCTGCAAAGGAAACGTCCACAACTACGTCATAACTACCTTTAATGTCCAATTTCATATTTACTTGAGTTATATCATGCTTGGCTACATTTAGTTACTGGAATTTCATCACCTGGTAGCACATCATTAGCACAGTTCTCATACAGCAATTGTAATCTTACCTGTTGTACATTTTTATTCTACCATTGGAATGTATTCTCCTTCCATTTTTTAACCATGAAATTTTTGGGGCAGGATTTCCTTCTGCCTGACAAGCAAAACGAGCAGTACCAGCTCGAGGCCTTGTTAAACTTTCGGGCCATTCCACAAATGAAGGTGGAGCTACAGACAAGAAACAAGGGGGAAAAAAAATAAAAATCAAGCCCCCACAAATGCAAGGACAGTCAGAATAACAATGAATTTTCCACACACAAACCCCTCTTCTCAGGCCACTCAAATACACATACACCCATGCAGAAAGCAAAGCATATTTGCTTAAAGATCCATACTATCTGCACAGATAGCAACATTTCTACACATTTTTGTTCATGCATTTATGAATACAAACAAATCGAACTCCAGCCTACGACATACTGCTCATGAAGCATACCTATATATTACATATTTCTACTTTGTTACAGGATTCATTTCTGTCTTCCCAGAGGAAACACTGCACCTGGGTATTTCCCAGTGCAACTGAACTGCTAGTTTATAACTCACACATTGAGTCTCTGACTTCTCATCTAAGTCAACAGACAGAAGAAGGCAGCCACAGTTTTGTGATCTGTTTCATCTCTGCAGTCTGTGATCTGTTTCATCTCTGCAGTCTCCCTACAGCCCTTGATGTTTGACATAAAAATTCAACCCAGTACATAGCACAGCTCAAGACACACACAAGATGTTAATACACTGCAGAAGTCAAAGCAGGCTCACCCAGAACAGTGAGAGTTGCCATTGCTACTGTGAAGTTCCGTGTGCCTGGAATAGTGGCTCGACAAACATAAACACCTGAGTGCTGCACCTTGACGTCAGAGATCATCAGGTTCCCATTTCCAAGGACACGGGTATTGAAGACGTCAATGGACTTATGGTCTATGTGAGAGAGTGGAAGAAGTGTGGTTACAAGGCTGTTCAATGTGTCTAAATAACTTACCTAGATAGGCTTGCCTGGGCAGTAATGGCATAGATCAGACTTTCAAAGTCAAAAGAGAAAGGGAAATCACAGATGAGCTTCCAGAGGTTTCCATTTTGCATCTGCTTTGCTCTTCGCTCCAGTAATCTAACATTCAGATGCTTGGGTCTCACCACTTGCTAAGTGATTTATATCTGAAATTCACCACCACAGCTAAACCATAATGCCATTTTCCCAGTTATCCTCCCCAGTTGCCTTACACTATGATTCAGTTTCTCACTACCAGCATCCTCATCATCTTTACAAACAGGGATCATCTATCTCCTTCTGAATTATGCTGGGGATAAAATGAGTATACTTGCTTACCAAATATTTTCTTCTATTTTCACAGCAAGTGCTCTGTAACTGTTAGGTAACTTTTCTCCTACTTTTTTGTCTGTAAGAGCCACTGAATCAACCAGGAAAGAGATGTCTATTTCTCCCACTTTTAGGAATAAAAATGCAGGAAAACTTTTCATTATTTGCTTCTACAGGTACACTCGTAACTTTCACATTTAGGTACATGTGAGAATAAAAACAGAGGTAGTTTTCATGGAAGAATGCAATGCAGTGATGAATGTTACTATTCTTATTGCATTCGCTCTCTTCTCTCCTTCCAGGCAGACTACTTGGGGTTTGACAACACCTATCCATGGTCCAAATTGCCCATTAACACAAAGTCCAGATCACATTCACACAGTGCTTCTAAGAGGAAGAAAAACATTTACAGGACTGCTTCATAGGATGCAACCACTCCAACCTGTCCCAGCTCACCACTGATTCTATTCCAAGTCACAGATCCCTGGTGGTCACCACCCTACTTGGCACTATCCACACACTGTGCTGGGGGCAGTGCAGGATTGACAGCAGAAACACCAAGTCCAAAGCCTCAGAAAACCTCAGGGCTTCTTAACAACAGTATGAAGTATGCAACTGAGAGTGTTTCACTTATCCTACCCTAACCTACTAATCGTTACCTACTACACAAAGCCTCAGAACAGTCACCTAATTGCTGAAATCCTTTCTTTCCAGTTTCACTTCCTCTCCACAGGCTGAAGGTCATATGCTGTAATTTTAAGACTTACCTAACCGGCTCCATGAGATGATTGGCTTTGGATTCCCTGTGGCTACACACTCCAGTATGACAGTTTGATGAAGAGATGCTGTAATGTTTTGAGGACCAGCTATTATAGATGGCTTGTGAAAAGGCTTCAAGTCTGAGGCTTTGGAGGGGAGGAAAAATAATTTAAAAATAAAATCAAAGAAAGTGAGAACAATAAACAAAACCTCAATTAACTATGAAATAAAACATGACTTTTTTTTAAGGATGCTTACAATTAAATTCACACTAAAGCCTTATTTCAGTAACTGTGGCAACGTATACTGAACAATATTTTAACCAGAAGACACAAACAAGCAAAATTATTATTTGGGCAAGTGGTTCAGAGGTCAGTAACAGCTCTTCAATGCATGTAAGTGTTTTTGCTATAATGTAAAAAAGAATCTAATGCCACTGAAAAAAAATCTCCCGTGGTGAGTACCTGGAATGACACTCAGCACTGCCTCAGCGCTTTTACGTCTATTGGCTATTGTTGTGGCAACACATCGGTAATTCCCAGCATCCTTCTGCTCAACACCATAGATCTGAAGAACTCCTGTAGGTAAAGCGGTTATCCTGTCACAGAAATCAAAAAAGACACGTAGATGAACATTCAGCCAGCAATTACCAGCATGGAAGTAACCACTTGATTTATGAACAGCCTATGCTGACCTAGGAACAGCAGGCTGGAGGCTGAAAAACATTCCCTATGTACGACTCACCTCCCCACATTTCTGAACTACAGGCAGTATTCCCCCCAGCACCACCACAAGAGCAGAGGAATTTCCTTTCGACAAGTACATCCTTCTCACCCTCAGAAGCAACCATCCCAGCCTTCTTTAGCCAGCTACTCCATTTATACTATTCAGGTTGGCTGATTTTTGGCAGCAATTTCTGATACACCAGCGTAAGTGCTATACGATTCCCAAAACCCCACCTATGCTTTCAATTTTTATGTTCCTTTTTTCACCTTCCTTTGCATGCTAGGTATCTTAGACATGTTCACCAAAAGTTACATGTCAGGAAGGATGGGAGTAAGTTCAATGAATACAACCTGGAAAGCAAAAGAATCTAGCAGAGAACAGGCTGTATGCTTCAAATTAATCAATTCAAGAAGTCTCCCTGTGCAGAATTTCCCTAGCATGAAGTGTTTTAACTCCATTTGCTGTGCATATAATTCTTTATTGGCCCTCTAAAGAAAAACAGGTTCAGTATCAATTCTGCAAAAGCAATCCCACTAGTTCAAATCATCCCCATAGCCAAAGCCCACATATTTGTATGCCACAGTCCTGAGGATGACTTGCATACAAAATTCACCAGTAACAGTTCATAGGTCAGTGATTACGGTGTAGACAATAGCAGGTGATTCTGGTCTGCATTCGTAACACCTCTTTAAAAATTCATTAACAACTATCACTAGCTATTTTAATAGTTGACATACTATACACATGGAAAATGGAGTTGCAAGTATTCGGATTTTCTTCTTGTAACAGGCTCAAAATTATCACAGAAAAGAAATGACATTCTAAAACGTGTAACTCTCCATACCTGTCCATGACTAAAGGTAAAGTGGTTCGATTCACTTCCCATGTCACAGTGGCAGGAGGGTTTGCTGTTATTTTACAGGCAAATCGAGCTACTCCACCTTCTTGGACCTCAGTTGAAAGTGGCTGGACTTCGAATGCAGAAATGGCTAAAAATAAGAGAGCATCGAATTTAAAAGACTAAAGTGAGGAAAAATTCCTGGCTAAACCAAATTCCAGATCATTGATCAACTTGCAAAAATAGCCAGAAATATTTCATACAGTCCTCTTTTCTACATGCAAAGACAGCTCTAATTACCCCGTCAGCTTTGCTCAATAGCATGGTTTCACTGGTTGAAGGTTACTTAAAGTAACTTTGCTTTAACCTAATTCAGTAAAAAACGTTTCCATGAAAATTAATATGACATTCTCAAATGGAATTACACATACAGAAAGACTGACACGCAGACAAAAATCATATCCATATCCAAACATAATGAAGTTTATGTCAACTAGTTTGGGACTGGCCCCACCACAATTTCCAAAACACCATTTGGTTCCTGACAGTCATATTTTAGTCTTTTAATAACACTCACTTTAGTAAAAGCATCTGCAGAACTGTACAAATTCATGTTAGATATGAAAAATATATTAAACCCAAAAAAGATCTCAAAGTAAGTTTAATCATGTAAGAACACTTTCATCCCAACAGTTCAAGTGGGCATCAAGCAGATGCTTGATGCACAGAGCATCAATACAATTTTGCACATTTACAAGTTAAGGAGTTCACAAAACTGAGCCAACTGAAGTGGCAGATCAATAAATACGTTACATCTAACAGCCACCTAAGAAACTGATCAGTAGTTGGATTTTTTTGCTCAGAAAATAGAAGCCAAAGGGAAGGAATACAAAACCCTTTAATTAATTGCTTATTTACTGCTGCTTACAACGTAACAGAAAGAACAACTCTTCAGAGGCAACTCCTTTTGACTAAGTCACAACACAAAGAATTCCACACTCAGTTTCACCCCCTGTAATTGCAGAGGGAACAATCTCTACATAAGCTCAATGGTACTGACTTGGTTGTTTTTCTTTTTAAAAATAATCAGATTTCAAATAAACATCTACTCTTGTATAAATTAAACAGAATATTATATAAATTATACAGATAAACCAACATTAGTAAGTTAACCATCTCTTACCATTCAAGTTTAGTGTTGAAACAATTCCTCTATTTTATTTATTAATTGAAATAGTTTTTCATCCTATTTACTCTAACATGTTCTCAATAATGCCTTTATGCATAGAGGACACATACAGTACTGATACAGACCAAGCATATTAACTAATGTTGCTCCCCTCTGTCATTTTAGTACTACTGCATAGCAACAATAGATTAATATTGGAGTGCGAAGGAACAGTGACATCACCTGATTGCTTTCCCCTCCATGCACAAATTAACTCCTAACATGGGTCTACCTACATAACTATTAAAGATTCCTGTTACCTAGTACACCTATTTTACTTCCCAGGTCAGAATGAATCCATTTTTTGCACTGCATTCCTGTAGTTGCATCAGCACTGCAGGAATGAGCATTCCTGATGGTACCAGCAGAGTGAAAATGTTGCAGCTTTGTGGACAGACCTCCCAAAGACTGTGATTAACAAGTCAACCAAACCACCTCGCCCAGCAAGATCACCTGAGAGCAGTTGCAGCTACATGATACAAACACTGTGGCTGCTGGACACCTCAAACGTGACTCAGGCTCCCAGGATGCAGGCAGAGATACTCCTGGTATCCATTTTTATCACCAGTCCTGTGCTTTTGGCAGGAGGTCCCTGCAGTTCCAGCATGCTCTGCAGTCTGTTCCCTACCCACCTTCACTGCAGACAGAACTAGCCCCTCTCACCAGCAGAATTTAACATTTAACCCAGTTCCCTATGTTCCAGCCTTTGTTCTTTCTTTCACTTATGCGTAGTACCAAGTTCAAGAATGAACAAAGACAAAAAAAAACCCACCAAACCCCACAACTTGCATAAAGACACTACAACATTAAAAGTCTTAAGTCTTACATTAAAGCCTGTTGGGGAGAGACATGAAAACAGTTCTCTCCTCAAACAGATTTTCTTTTGATTGCTGAGACATCATCAGAAAAGAAGAGATTTAATAGTACTTTGCCTACCTACAAAAGTTCCATCTCAGGGAACAGACTCAGTACAAGTCAAATAACGTGCACATATACCAGGTTGTTCCTGTAACTAAACTTTCTGGACTTGCTTTCTGCTGAATTCCATGCAGTCAGACTCTCCTGTAGTTTTCCACAATAGGGTAGGGGGGAAGCATCCAGGCTTTTATTGCTTCTTCCCTTCCCTCCTTCTCTGTTTTAATCCCTCCCTACATAGACAACGTGTTCACCTTAAGTCAGAATAGTATTTCCCTAGTGCTGTTCTTAACAGAGTTTCTAAAAATAAATAAAGATTAAAGACAGAAATGAGACTGTAAGAAACTACAGAAGAAATTGAGGAAAAGTAGTATTTCACAGAATACAAAATACCATCATCACAGCAAGCAAGAACAGATTCAGCCGCACTATCTGGAAAATCCAATCCAAGTTGTTAACTGAAGCTGGTATTTAAAGAACATTTTTTCCATCTGATCAACAACCTATTTCCTCAGAAAAGTAATCTTTAAAGACAGCAAAAGTCAGAACTATGGAGAACTGCACAAAATATTCAGAAAAAACACATTAATTTAACTAAATGTGGGTTTAGAAACAAAAAATCCCCACTTAAATCTCATCTAAATTTACACATTGTTTATCAGCTTACTTCAATACTTGCTCCTCCTGTATCTTGTTTCTTCATGCAAATCTCTGGTTTCTTCTTAATTCTGACTTTATTTGTTCCAGTAAAATCTGTTTTTACAAGTCTATTGCTGTCTCGTGAAATCTGACCTCTTTGTAACAGGCTTGTTTTCATGGCAAGCGCTGATACCAACTCAGAACCCCAAGAAAAAGTCATTAAAGCAGTGCTGTTAAGAGGCCAGAGCTCTATAAAATGCATAAGAAACAAAGTCTCAAGAGACATACGTTGTTCCCAAAACCAACCCTGCAAAATGCAATAAATGTAAGTGCCTTTTTATTTGAGTTTTTCCCCTCTTCTGCAGTCTATTCAATCATTTTGTTCTCAGATTTATAGCCAAAAGAAAACAATTAATGTTACTCTGAGAAGCTGATGCTCCCATCCTTTTTAACTTGCAAGATACCAAACACTGCTTACAGAAGAAGAAAACAATAGGTAGAAACTTTATATAGTTCTATAAATTCCTTTATGTACTTTATTACTTATTATTTCCTGCAATTTATGCAATGGGAACATGTGTTTATACAGGTTATACTTATACTTTTGAGTATAAGTATCTCTGATGGCATAAAACACAGTTCCGTCCAGCAAAGTTATCTATGCTGAGAGAAATCAGAGTTCAGCACTGGCGTAAGTTCTCTCATTTACTATTGAGGCAAATACCCACAGGCTAAAACCCCAAATGATTACTTGCTGTCACATGCTGATTAAGTATTACAGAAACACTGCTTTGTCTCCTGCACCATGCATGGATTGAATAGTATCCTGCGTGCATGCAAAAGGTTTTTTGTACCTAAACAGGTTTATATAGATTTAACTGTTAAGGTACAAAAAAGCCAAACTTGAAGCTCATCCCTCACATCTTTTGTTTGTTTCAACAGCAGCACTCCTTTGTTCACTTTAATTAAAACAAAGAGAAACAAACAAAAAAGAAACACAACACCCCCCATTTCATTCACTCCTGAAATAAGTCCTGAAGCTCGTTCAAACCACAAGTCCACCTAGGTGACTTGTTCCCTTACATGCTGCACTTCCTACTCACACACTTTGTGTCATTAAGTGATTTTCTCAATGAGCTTTCTTAAGAGGAAATTCCAATAATGCACATGTTTATTATTGTAAAAGCTCGCTGGTTTCATCGCAGCTGACACTGGCCTGCGTCTGGACTGCAACTGCATAATAAAGAAACTGAAGATAAAACCCCTGAATTGAAATCACCCCTGAACTGAAGCAGTAGCACAGAACTGAGTTTCATCTAACCAGAATGCAACAAATATTGGGAAACTCTCCAGCACATGCTACCAACCACTTAAGTGTTTCTCAAGAGATAATGGCCACTCAGATAAATGAACTGCTCAGGTGGAAAGGACAAAAGTGCATAATGCCATTTGTAGAACTTATGTGTTAATACTATTGGGAATTACACAATACCCCTAACCCTTCTACTAAAGACAAGAATCTTTTCCTTTTTTTAATTCTCAGGTAAAGAGGTTTCACTTGAGAAGAATAAACTTGTATGTTAAAGAAAAGCTATGGCTTTTTCCAAAGAAATGCATTTCAGTTCAGCACATGACAAATCTAATACTGAATTTTCTCTTCTTGATCTAGTTTTCATGATGCACTCTCTCTGTCCCTCTCTCTGAAACAGTGTTTAAAAATGCAACAAATATACATATTTATTAGAGTTTAGCACCAAAGCCAATTTGCATGTATTTCCCTGGAGTTCAGTGCTTTCACAGTCCTTGCAGGAGTGAAACTTAAAACAGATTTTGAAAGGAGTTCTGCCATGCCATTCGGCTACATAGATACATATTTCCAAATGGTGTGCTACTCAAATGGCACATTCTGGTCTGAATATGGATTGGAAATAACCTTTGGCTGAGTACTGACACACCCAGATACATGGCAAAACTACAGACACAGAGCTATTCTCCCCATTTCCGATGAAGCAGTTGGAGTACACAGAGCTGGAGCTGTTGTCTAGTGATCTAACGCGAGGATCTCTGCTGAGTTTCCCAGGAGATGCTAGTAAAAATTAAAGTATTTCAGAGCTCAAGTTCTCCTTAGGACATAGAGTTCAGAGGGGAATGTCACCCAAATGGAGCAATATGGGTAAAGTTTTCCATAACTAAGTGAAAAGGGATTACTGTGAAAGGGTGTTCCGTATGTGCTACCACAACCATTCACCCTTAAAAGTCTAATCAAGTGTTGTTTGACCTAGAATTATTATTTTTAAAATGTGAGGCATAAAAATGAGATTTCAGGTGAAAAGACACCTGGCCTTTAAGGAAAGATTTGAAGAGCTGGG